TCATTTTTCAACTACACAGTCACTGACAGGGTGACCCCACCCGTCAGTCCTCGCTGACCATGGCGGTGATGCTCGCTGACCGGCGATTTCTCGCCGACGGCGAGGTCTCCGGCCACGGCGAAGGTACTACCACATTCTCCATCACACGGCGGTTCGATTGGTGGCACAAGCTAGACCAATTACGGCGAGTTTCAAGCTTGACGCCGGCCATGGCCGCGGCTGCGCTACGCCAACGAAACAAGGCCGGTAGCAGTTAAGCAAAACGCTTGGGAAGAATCAGAAGCTCACCCCAAACACACTCGAGCAGAAATCTGGACCGGTGGAGCAACGAAGAAGCGAGTCGACGATCACCGCAGACACGGCGGCGCAAGCTACGTCGACGGCGGTGTTCCGGTGGCTGCGATGGACAAAAGGATCAATCAACCGGGCACAAAGCATCATGGCAACATGGCGAAGCTGGAGCTACACAGAGCAAGAGCAAAGACACACCGTAGAGTGCTGGCCACGGTGACGCGCACCCGACGGCGGTGCTGCCGGCCGCGAGGAAGAAAGGCGTGTGAAAGGTCCTTGTTTGTTTTTGGTAATTGAGTGACAACCTAGGTGTACTAATTGTGTTTATGTGAGATACACAGGTAATTAGTCCATAGGTACATGTGTGTGAGCAACATATGCCATGAAGGTGAAAATGGCTTAGAGATGTTGCAAAGCTCACACATGTGATGATGAAGGAGCTTAACGCACATGAGACATGACATTGAGTCATGTGATCAAGGTGGAGAAGATCAAGACATGACTTGGCTTGATGGACCGGTTGCAAGCGTGAAGGGCAAGTCGAAGGCTTTGGAGTGATGGACCGCGTGGCGGTGAAGCTTGAGCAAGACTTGGCGCCGATGGACGATGGCAACGGTGAAGGGCAAGTGAAGTCAAGATCGATGAACCAATATGATCACGTGATGATATGAAGTGGATCATATCATTGTTGATCGTGTTGGTGCATGTGTTGCATCGATATTGGAGGAGATGGAATGGAATGCGCAAGGCAAAGGTATAACCTAGGGCATTTCATTTCACCGATCATAGGCGTGTAGAGAAGTTGATGACCGGGTTTAGGATAGATGGCCGTACTATCAAGAGGGACAAACTTGTTTGCATATCGGTCATCTAGTGCCACTCGAGTGATCTAACTTTGCATCGTCGCTAGGATCGAGTGGCGTGGCAAGTTGAGTGGCTAACATCCTTTGGAAAATGATTGTGAAAAGCTAACACACATACACAAGGTGATAAACTTGGTGGTGTTGGCACATTTACAAAGGAGGTAGTGTTTGCAGGGATGAGATGGGTTTGGGTCGGCGGGATTCGACGCTTTTGGGAAAATGGAATGCCTATTTTCTATAGCACCGGATGCAAATTCTTGTGGTTGGCACATTGGAGCAAGGGTGAAGAAGTTAGAAGTGAAAACGAGTTAGTCGCGAAGATGCTGGCGTCGGTCAACTGACCGGACGCTGGTTGAAAAGCACCGGACGCTGGTAGCATGCGTCCGGTCGAGCTGGTCGGTCGGCCGCATAAGATGCAAGGGTATTGCACCGGACGCTGGTCGTGTCCGGTTAAGGTGGACCCGGACGCGTCCGGTCGAAGAAATACGCCTCGGGAGCTTCTATGGAAACGACGGACCTTTGGGGTTTCAGGCGTCGGTCGGTTTTTTATCGCTGCATCCGGTCAGGTCAAGTGCCCGTTGGGATCGGGACGCGTGGCCGTCTGCAGACGAGACGGACGGACGCTGAGGTCCGGCGTCGGTCAACTCGACCGGAGCGTCCGGTCGGCCCGATTTTTGCCCGATGAAGGGGTATCGGCTAGTTTAGCCCTTGGGGCTATAAATAGAAGTGGCCCTCGGCCATGGTGGGCCGAGCACCTAAGGGACTTAGTGTCCATGCTTGTGAGTGCTTGGGAGCCCTCCATCACACATATACTTGATAGTGATCATTCGATTGTGTGAGTGAGCGATTCTAGTGCGATTGCATCGTGAGGTTGCATCGAGTGGCACTAGGTGGTCGTGTTGCAAGCCGAGTGGTGCTTGTTACTCTTGGAGGTTGTCACCTCCTAGACGGCTTAGTGGTGGTCTCCGTCGAAGCCCCGCAAGAAGCTTGTGCGGCGCTCCCGAGAAGTGCTTGTGAGGGGTACTTGTGCTCGCCCATGGAGTCGAAGAGCAACTTTAGTAAAGCGTGTCATTGAGCTACCCTCACTCAAGGGGTAGATTCTTGCGGTGCCCGACGTGCGGGCTTAGCGGGTGATGCTAATTAGCCACCGAACCACCAAGTGAGCGGTCGACACAACGGGGACTAGCGTGTTGGCAAACACGTGAACCTCGGGAGAAAAATCATCGTGTCAACCTTGTTCTTCCCGTTGGTTTGCATCCCCATTACACAAGCTTGCAATTACTTTTATATATCTTAAGCTTGTGTAGTTGCTCTTGTAATTAGTTAGCTTGTGTAGATTACTAGTTACCTTCTTGCTTGTGTAGCATAGAAGTAGCTCCCTTGTGTGGCTAATTTGGTTTTAGTAACCTTGTTAGTCACATTGCTTATTTTGTGTAGCTAAGTATTTGCGCTCTCTAATTAGGCATTGGTTGCCTTGTTATTGAGCTTTGCTAGTGAGCTTAGTTGGCTTTGTGCTTTTGCTTACTAGCATGTGTAGGAGCTCCCTTGTTGCTTAAAATACTAGTGGCATAGGTTTGTGTGACCTTGCTCCTAAAATTGTTTAGGAGAGCTCTAACTAGCCCGACACCTTAGTTGCATAATTAGCATCTTTGCAAGGTGCTAGTGAACATATATAGAGGGGTGTAGTCTTGGCTAGACCGATTGTTTTAATTACGCATTTATATCGGTTAGCCGGCGTGATTAATTTTAGAAAAGACTATTCACCCCCCTCTAGTCCGCCATCTCGACCCTTTCAGCGTGCACAACGGGTTTCCCGGTGGAGTCAAGCTTCAAGGGCTGGTTGGCTGGGTGCGCAAGGAGCAAGTGGAGCTATGACAGCTTTGCTGCGACTGGTATGCGGCAACGGCACAAGCTCGACGGAGCAACGGCGGCGGCATCGGGAAAAACAGAGGAGAAGAACGGCGAAAAACGGCGACGGTGAAGACCTTATAGCGCGGCTCAGAAGCAAGAGGAAGCCACGCAGCAACCTTCTCCACGCCAGCGCGAAGCCGAACGTGGCCACGAGCGCGCCTGGAAGACGTCGGAAGCTCGCCGTCGGTGAGGTGTCGCCCGAAGACACTATTCACAGAAATTACCGAATTGCCACTCGTTTATTTTCCCAAATTACTCCCAAATTTGTATGGTAACTCAAAAATCTCCAAAAATAAAAGTTGTTCCAAATTCAAAGTTCTACAACTTTGTTTTAATAACCATAATCTAATTCGGTCTACATTTTGAAATGCAAGTTTAAAATCAAAAGGGGACACTTTAAGTACATAACGCCTTTTCAAATTACTTCAAATTTTATATAACAACTTTGAAAACTCCAAAAATCAACTTTGTACACCTTGACAAGCTCTACACTTTTGCTTTTAGGCTCAACCCCAAAATGTACTTAGATTTTGAATTAGGTTTTCCAGGGTAAAACTAATTGCTGGAATTAGGGTTTTCGGAAATCCAATTCAATACAAAAGTTTTGAACTTGATTCAATCCACACAAGTCAACTTATATAACATAAAGGTAAACTTGTTTTAGTGTATACATATCAAAAATTTTACTAACACAAAATGATGTGCAATACATGTGATGACATGGCAGGTTTTAGTATTTAAAACACCCGAGGTGTTACAATTGAACTCTCTTCTTCATGCGAACAGTCTGTTCGCTTGCTCATATACGATCGTGGATTATAAGCTGGAAAAGTATTTTTCTCTCACACTAAACCAGCCAGCAGTAAATAATCCACAATCGTTTACGACGAAACGAACAGGCTGAGCTACCAGGTCCTTTGTTTATTCGATATAATTGCTAAACAAAATAGAACACCAAAATATGAACTTTTTGAAGGGTACTTGATCAGGATTCAGATGATTAAGCAGAGGACCCGTAAAAGCAAAAGAAGGGGTTGATAAATAATTAAATATGAACTTGCATATATATTACCATGACACTTGACACATTGTCCTGCAGGTTTAGGACATCTTTGTCTGTTAATGTGTTGACATGCTTCAAACGCTTTCTTCTTCTTTCCTTAAAGTCTGATGAATGATTTTTCTTAGAACCCCAAAAAAAAAAACGAAATTCTGAAGCTAACAGGTCAAGGAAGGTCCATCAGAAAATAGATAGCACAAGACACATCGGTACTTTTGGAAAAGTAGGTTCACACTGAAACACATTTGATTATCAACTGGTACATGACACTATGAAAGGGCTAAAAGGTATTAAAAATGCTAGAATTTTAAAATGGATAAAAAAAACAGGTCCAGTGCACTTCTGAAAATTTTAGGGAAACTAATTTTACGCTTAGGTATGTAGGAGGGGTACATATAACGTAAAGGTTTGACGATTCAAATTGAAAGCTTACAATATGATCGGCATTAATTCTACTAGGGTCTCAGCGATATGTCGATGAATGTTGGTGTTCTCAGTGTGGTCCTATAAACTATACATACCAATACATCAGACATAAATTGAAAAAAATATTGTCAACTCCATATTTTCCCCCATTTTCAGTCAAATTCCATCCAAAATTTTGAATTTATCAAATGATAAATTACCATTTATCAACTGATAAATTACCATTTATCAGATATAATCAGACTCATCGTCTCTACCAGCCAGCAGCCATGTTTTATGGATGGCAGGTCATATTATGATACACAATAACTGCCCACTGCCGCCCTGATATACCTGCAAAATCATTTGTAATGCAAAAGAGTCTAGCTGAACCATGATTGGGCAATATTATGAATATGCTAGACATAGCATTAAAACAGTAGACTGGAGATCTACAGAACCTGATGGATTCACATTGGATTAGACAATACAACATGAAGGATCTGCATGCAAGAACAACATGAAGTGAAGGTTATGATACTTACTTCTTTTAATAAGACTGACTCAAAATCAGAATCATCAAGCCTAACTGTATAGCTGGCTCTGGCTGGAGGAGTATAGCAGAAATCATCAGGTAATTCTTGGAAAACTCTGTCCTCCATAACGGCATTTTCCTTGCCTCGTGTACAGGGATGAGCAGACAGCTTTGGGACTGGCCCTGCTTCTTCACCACTGTGTACCACGCAGAAATGAAGGTTTTCTGAGAAATAAGTAGCCAACAATTTTACAGAATAAGAGAATAAAATAGTATCTGTAACTTCTAGTTTACAGGGACTGCCCCTGCTTTTTGGCCTACTGTTAATCCAAAGGAAAGATAGGTTTTATCTGCGAAATACTGTCAACATACTGACACAAATCAAAGAACAAAAAGTGATAGATGGATTAGAATTGTCCACAACAATTTCATTCTAGCAACGCAACACATATATGGAAACATAATTACAGTTTCCAGTTTCACATTTTGTCCCCAAAACTCCTTCCATAGTCCTAGAGGTTCATGCACATGCACTCGCCCAAGTGAAACAGCTACTGGGTACTTGTCCAACCATATCACAATTTCAGAACAGTTGAACAAAACCCACCCCCTACCTTTCCATCAAGTAGGGGTCATCCTGGAGGTGCCTTCCCTCCCTGAGACACTCCGCGAACCACCGGTGGCTCACGACGCGCGTGTCCAGCCTCCTCGCGATGTCGTACTTCTTCCCCTCGAGCCTCCAGCACACCTGCCCGCCAGAAAGCGCGCACCAGATCCAATTTCACACCGCGTGGAATAAAATCAACCAACTAGAAAATCGATGCCCAGGCAGACGGGGATTCGTAGTGGCATACCAGGTGGGTGATGGACCTGCTCGTGGATCCGACGTAGCTGGCGCCTGTCTCCGCGATGAGGTTGATGAGCCTGTGCCGCTCGTCGCCGTGGTAGCCGCTCACCGTCGCGACTACGGACCCCATCCCGTCGATCGGCATGGGATCCGCCGCGGGGTGTGTCAGCGGCACGAAAACCACTACCGGGCAAGTCGGGTGCCGATGTGTGGAGGCGGACAGTGGATTGCCGGCACACGGCGGCAGCGCTCCTCAGGGACGGGGAAGCAAGAAGTTTCCGGAGGCGTTCAAAACCCCTTTTGGCCTTTTCGTGTTTCCCTCCGTTTTGCGTTTGAAATTTTCATTAGCCTCGCCTAAGTGCCAATCTCACGCTTCCCTGAGTCAAATATTCTCAAATTTAACTAGATTTTTAAATAATAATATTAACACTTGTATCTTTAATAGGTTTACTATAAAAATACGTAATGTAATTCTTTTAATGATGTATATTTGATATCATAAATATTAATATATTTTATATATATTTTTATTAAATTTAGAATTTATTATAACTTCTCGACGTACGAGATGTACACTTATTTTAGAGCCGAGGAAGTATGCTTTCTATCCTGTTTGAAAAAGAGAGAAAGCTAAAAAAAAACTCTTCGCCAAGGACGTTCATAACAAATTGACAGCTGATATGGCACATATTGGAAATAAAGAAAGAAAGAAAAATCGCTAGCCCCACACATGATACATGCCTACATGGACGTGGCCCAAGCATGCAGGGCAGAGCCTTTTTATTAAAATCTGCAAGACTAGCAACAAACTTCTCACCAGTAATGAGTTTTCAAGTTGTTCTCTCTCGGCCACGTTGAAAAATATGGCATGTCATGTTAGTTAGCTCGAAGGCTATTGTTGGGTACGTCCTAACCGGTTGTGCCACCCGAGATCGCCGATGGGACCTGCACAAGCCACCCCCTTCTCCCTCACTCTGGCCATGTTTAGATTGCAAAAAATTTTAACCCGATGAATAGTAGCACTTTCGTCTTATTTGGTAAATATTGTCCAATCATGGACCAACTAAGCTCAAAAGATTCATCTCGTGATTTCCAACTAAACTGTGCAATTAATTATTTTTTTTACCTACATTTAATGCTCCATGCAAACGGCTAAAAATTGATGTGATGGAGAGAAAGTGAAAAAACTTGGAATTTGGAGGTGATCTAAACAAGGCCTCTGTGTCTTGCTTCTCCTTGGCACCACTTCGGGTGTTATCGGTTTCACTTTCCTGAAAATAGGAATAGCAGTGGGTACTCATGACCCAAAACTCGATGAGTTACTTTTATTACGGCATGGGTGTAGGGTAATTTACGAACCCATGGGTATTTTAATGGACAAAAGTCCATATCTATTAGGTTTATGGATACGGGTACAATTACGCTTCACGTGAACCCATAAAGCCATGGATATGTATATACCCAATATGCAAGAAAAAACTATAATTAAAAACAATGGGTCACATCATGTTGTGACCTAGGCTCTAAATGGAAAACAACTTTTATTAGCCCCTATTTAGTAAAAAATAAACTTAACACCAGTTTAGCTCACTTTTATGGTCTAATGAACTAACACTATTTTTGTGAGGTTGACTAAACTTTAGACCACCTGTCTCAAGTCTCGAGAGCTAAAAGAGATCTAGAGTTTAGTGACTAAACTTTAGATCATAAAATCTAAACAACACCTTAAACACTATGACCTTTTTAGTTAGTGCTTTAGATCATAAAATCTAAACAGCACCTTAAACACTATGACCTTTTTAGTTAGTGTTGGGAAAGTTGCCTAAGGGCACTCGCATTTGTGTGTGTGTGTGTGTGTGTGTGGTGGGGGGGGGAGAGGGGTAAGAAACCTTCCTATCAGGATACATTGTGGAGAATGCTAAGAAAGGAGGTAGTAACAAATAAGTAGCACTACTATTGGGTAAGAAGGAATAGAAAATATTGTTCTCTCTCTCCACCTTGTTGTCTGTCCTTCTCAAGGGAGCTCACGAGAAGCAGACGACATGATTTGGATTTTATTGTTTTGTTTAGTACAGACCCATCTTTCTTACTTGTACATTGTAGGGATAAAATTTGTGCAACTATCTACTGACAGCATGCCCACCCTTACTATTTGACTAGGTAAGATACATTGATGGTGCTCTAATCCACACATCTTCATCCAACCACAATAGTAATAAACAATTAAATTTATCAGACGCCTTAGATTGTTGCCTGAGATAGAAATATTGGAAATAATTCTCATAATTTGAACCAAACAGGTCATGTCTAAAAAAACACCAAACACAAACCATGTATTTGGTTTGGAAACGAGGTGGAATGAGATGGCTCTACCCCTATTTTTAGAATGTAATCGTCTTAGTTATATGTTTGATTTGGTGAGGATATAGGTCCATTCCAAACTTTTTGTTTGCTTGGAGGGATTTAGAGGGATGGGATAGCGTATTTTTTTTATACTATTAGCAATAGTAGTTATCAACAAGTCCCAGTTGTCATTCTCTCTAACTATTTCTCTTTTTATATTTTTATTATCTCATCTTCTTGCAACTCACCCCTGTGCGTCAACCCTAGTGTGGGCTCGGCTGAAGAGAAAGACCACCGAGAAGGGGAGGAGCCATGGCGTCGCGAGCTCGGTCGAGAAAAGGAGGAGCTGTGCCACCACAACTCACGAGCTCAACCGAGGCGATGATGACGGAGAAGAGCCCACCCGTGCAAGATAAACGAGACACCATAGATATAGGATGAGGCCATCCCCTTGATCTCTAGGGACAAGGACAACCCGAATCAGGGAGCCTGTGGAGACGACCCATCCCCTTTGGCCCCAAAACCAAGCACGAGTGGAATTGAGACCGACCCATCCCATCTCATCCCTAATTATCCCTAGAACCAAACACATTTCTAAAATAGCCACATATTCTGGTGCATGGTCCATCCAAATCAAAGACCAATATTACAATTCAGACCCAGAGCTGCTAGAGTGAGCTACTAATTTACAGGCCCTTGAGCACCGAGCCACCGAGAGAGAACATTTAACAAAATCAAATAACAGTTTTCTCTCTCTAATCTCTCTAAATAAAGTGCTCAGAACTGATCTGTCAATGAAGTTCAAAAACCGAGATGCATTACTCTTAATAACACAAATACAATGGCAATCACGGTTCGCACAGACAAACGCATTCAGTTCAAGGTGAAAACAAGTGGGAGAACACAGATTGATCACAAACTGACTAGAGCTAAAGCCATTGTAAATTGTAAAACAAGTAAATGCCTTCGTTCAACGAAACTACATTACTACAGGTTAATTATTTGTGAGAGTCATCTTTGAAGAAAACAAACAGTTGTGATGATTAGAGTGAAAATCAGTGAGATATATGTAATTGTTTTCATTATTGGATGCAACTGTAAAAGGATCCAGCATGTTAGTATTTCTTTTAAGTCTTTAAAGATGAAAAAATGCTAATTCAAGAGCAAAAGGTAAAAGGAAAATGAAGCTTTACAGCATAAACCCACCTTACGGCAGCGTTTCCTTGCGTCTTGTTTACTGTCAAGCTAACAATCACACATCACAGCATTGACAAAGCCGAAAAGTGTTCTTTCGGAAGAAAGTAAGAAACTAGTCTCCTAAATCTACTTCTTCCTATGCTTCGAGGTCTTGATCATCAACGATCTTGGTTCTTCAGGCATTTTGGCTTCGACTTGCTGTTCCTGCAATCAATATTAACATTTTGAGATATCTCATTAGGAAAAATGATGTCAGGATTAACAAGCAAAAGCAAACTTCGCCCGAAGAATTTTACTGTAAAACAACACACAATTCTGGGATGCTAGTTAAAATTAATATCTTTCTCAATAACTGGTACAGGTCAACTCATGACCCTGAAGCTCAAACAAAAGTAGCTAAATGGCTAAAGGGATGCTGAAGAAACTGAAAAACTAGAAAGTATGTGTAGATGAATGAATTCTGCTTAAGGAAAGAGTCTGGGACAATTAATTTTCTTTTTGTCACAGATTGCAAAAGGATATTCCAGTAGATCTAGCACCACCGTAATTCAAACACATTACAACATTAGACAGCTCTTCTTGTCACTTAAAAGCCCATGACAATATGCTACTGTCTCTGAAAACAATATGAATGTTTTACAGCTCAATTGACTTATTGACTTCGTATATCAAAATTTAAATGAGCTGCGGCCACACTGACTGATGCAAAATGGGTAGCAATTAGCAACTGATATTTGTCTTGCAAATACACAAGAAACAAAGCTTGAATTATAGTGCTATAAGCAATACGGAGGAAAATACTTCTACAGGTTAGATTTTGGAAGATGAAGGCTACGGACCTCCTCCCACTTTCTCTGAAGCTGCAGGAGTTCTTTACAGGATGTTATACATTCAGCATGGTACGCCGTGGCTAAATCTTTAATCAAGGCCTTCCTTTTAACTATCCCTATCACTTCAAAACATCAATTAGGTGTCAGACTACTGCAAGTTTAATAAACTATGCCAAAAGTATATCTTTGCGAAACGAGCAGCTGGTGGATGCACTTTTCAAGATAATGCCAAATGATACATCTAAGCATTGAGTTTAACAACATTGTAAAGATACCGTCCTCACAGTATAGTACCACAAAGTAATCTAGCAAAACCATTTCAAAAAAGTCTGAACTTGAAGCCGTTAACAAAACAATACTCCAGGGAATGCGATGCGATGTTCATAATTTGCTATGCAAATAACCAACATAAAGCTAATAGTAATTCAATCTTCCATCCGAATTCCCCAGGAACGAGAGCAAGATATCATGATTTCCTATTTCCTACAGAAAAAAGTGGGAACCAAACTACAATTCGAACTAGAAATACAGAATAATCTACTGAAATGAAATGAAGCTGCCAGTTGAGACGGGAGCTCCTTACTTCGGCTGGGATCGAGCTGTTCCTCGGGTTTGGACCCGTTGGCTGCCGGTTCCCTACTTCCTCCTGCAGCTGTGGCACCGTCCATCGGAAGCAACTGCGTAGAGAGTAGACACACTGCACGAGTTAGGGTTTTGCCTAAATCCATTCAACCAGACACCACCTGATAAATTCAACCCAGCATAAAACGGAGTT